CAGTTTTGACAATATGGGACCTTTAACATAAACTAATAAACTTAATGTGATATATATGCATATTTGTCAGTTATACATAAATAAAACAGGTTAGAAAAGAGTAAGATTTCTGTAGTACTACCAAAAAACTAAATTTGTATTAAATATTATATATTTATCACCAAGAAATCCCAATTTGTTGTCTCCTATATTTTAAATAATTGAATATCACTTTTCCACAGCTAGCCATAGTTTAACCATGTTCTTAATTGATTTTTTGAGTACAAAAAAATCTTTCTCACCGATTTCATTCATGATTTGCAAATATGCATCACATAAAGTTTACTATGCTGAAACTGTGTAATCCAAATGGATGGAAATTTTATATGCAATTCAAATACATAAATCCTAAATTTAGGCCTAAATATTTTTTTTGAGTGAAGTAATTTTAAATGCTATACAAGTGAATTTAGGCATCAAAAAAGTATAAATTACAATAAAATATCCTAAATTAACAATCAAATATCCAATATCAAACAGTACAGATAGATTAAAAAAAAAATCTGAACTACTGCATGATAACCAATATGGTGTATCCCTATACCAGTCTCAGCCATGGGGCTTAGGCCCACTAGTAATTTTAATTATTACTAATATATTATAATAATGATTAACTTAATTAAACTGCTTTTGTGGTTACTTACTCATTTCAACACTCCCAGATTCTGTTAATAATTTATTATATAGGGGGCCTTTGAATATTGTGTTGAGAACCACTGCCCTATATATTAAACTCTAATGATACTGATTTTTTACTCAGAGAGCTACCTGCCCAAGGATGATGGGGAGTTTTACCAGTTCTGCTATGTGGACAGCTTTGGTCATGTCAAAGGAGCCAGCACCCCATTCTGCTTTCAAACCCCAGCAGAAGCAAGCCTTGACTGCAGCTTGGAGAAGGACCTGTTAGTCATAACAACACAGGTACATCTCCACTTGAAGTTAAAGTTTGTAGTATTTTTACTTTCTGCTAGCCATTTACATTTAATATTAATACTAACTGGCCAAAAAAAATCATTCATCGAATGTCCTTGTGAGTAGGAGCAGGCAGAAAAGACGGAGAAGGAGAAAGAAGACTTTGTGAAAGAGATTGAGTCTTTAAAAGAAACAAATGCGATCCTGAAAAAAGAGTTGGATGAAAGACTGCATGAGATCCGCCGTCTCAGGGTTAGTCAGACTCTCTTTCTTTTATTATACACATATGTAAAAATGTAAGCACTTATTATTTACAATATTTATGGTTGTATTTATGATTTCTGCAATGAAGGCCAACTGATTGTCTGATCTGTTATCTAATGCTTTTTTTTTTTTTTTTGCCCTGTCTTTGTGTGCTGGACCCATTATGTAGTGGGAATGTTGTACTACTTGTTCTACTTAGTCTTATTTTTAGTTTATGATTGTATGTATTTATGTATATATATATATATAATTTATATTTTATTATAGTATTTATAATAGGTATTCAATTAGCTTTTTTATATTTTCAGATGTTATTTTAATTTTAGTTTTTATAGTCATTTTATATAAATTTTTGTCTTTTGTCATTTCTATTATATTATAATATTTCTGTTGCTTTCATTTATTTTTGTTTTTTGTTTTAGAACTTCAACTTCAACTTAATCATTTCAGTTATTTGTCAAGGCAACATTTTACATTTTCATTTAAGTTGTTTATTTAATATTTATATTTTATTTTACTTAATTACACAATATTTAAACAATACTAACACATCTACTGCATTGTTCTTGTACTGATCATCATTGCAAAACACCACTGGTGAATAAAGAGATTGTAAATGTGTCTTTATACTAAACTGCAGAGCTCCATAGAGGATTCAAAGTCAAAGGATAAACCAGAATCACCTCTGCCAGATGTACCCAGTTTTAATGCCACCGAAGAGGTAAAGAAAGAACTATGCTTCTGCAAACAACCAGTGGAAACACTGACACAGCTGAATATTTTAGCTACAGTATCTCTATAATTGAATCTGTATGACTTTAATCAAACAAAATGATTCACAGTCACTGACATCTCTGCGAGAAAAGTACGATAGAGCTGTTCAAAAGATCCACTTGCTTAAGAGAGAAAGGACAGAGTTACAGCAACAGCTTGAACTCAAGAATGGGGAAGTCCTCAGGTGAGTGTCCTTAATATGGAAATCTCTGTGTTTTATGTGTAAAAGTTTATGGAAATTTTCATCTATTTTTTTCTCCAGGCTAAACACCTTGTTGAAAGAAACGGAGCAAAATCACAACAAAGTACAGGACCAAGCCAAGCTGCTACAGGTTTGCAAATGTGTTCTTAATATGTGACCCTGGACCACAAAACCAGTCATAAGGCTCAATTTTTTTGAAATAGAGATTTATACATCATCTGAAAGCTGAATGAATAAGCTTTCCATTGATACATGGTTTGTTAGGATAGGACAATATTTGATACAACGTGATACAACTATTGGAAAATCTGGAATCTGAGAGTACAAAAAAAATCAGCATATTGAGAAAATTGCCTTTAAAGTTGTCCAAGTGAAGTTCTTAGCAATGCATATTACTAATAAAAAATTAAGTTTTAATATATTTACAGTAGGAAATTTACAAAATATCTTCATGGAACATGATCTTTACTTAATATCCTAATGATTTTTGGCATAAAAGAAAAATCGTACATTTTGACCCATACAATGTATTTTTGGCTATTGCTACAAATATACCCCAGCGACTTAAGACTGGTTTTGTGCTCCAGGGTCACATATGTGTTATTACTGTTAATGATAATTAAGAAAAAATATGTATTTTTGTAGTGCCTCTAAACAAAGACGCTTCATAATTCATGACATTACAAATACCAAGACAAAAATAGAGTAAGAATTGAAAAGAAAACACAACCAAATGAATGCAAAAAAGGTTGTGGTCTAAGAAGCTTCACATTTATTCTGTTTTAGGTGGATGTGCAAAGCAGCAGGAAAGACTATGAGAAATTGCACACTGAAATCCAGGAGCTCAGGATGAAAAATACTCCGGAGGACCGGAGGGCTGAAAACAAAGCATTACAAACATCCTTGTCAGAGCATGAAGCCCAATTGAAAGAAGAAAACTGTAAAGTGAGGCTTGTCACCGAGGCTTATCCATTTTTTGAAGATTGAAGACTTCAAATCATTCATCAAAAATCACTGTATTGTCAGTGATTCAAGTAATCTCTTTGTGACTCAGGTACAGATTCAAGCCCTGCTCAATCAGCTGACAGAGGCCAGAGGGCTGCTTCGCAGTGAGGTGCAGAGTTGCAAAGAAGCCTGCAAACGTGCAGAAACCGGTGAGCAGGAATTGAAGGAAGTGAAAAGGAAGCTGGAGGAGATAACCTTGAAACAGACTGAGGACGAGAAAGCCAATCAAATCCAGGTATTTTTCAATATAGTGTCATGTTTTTTAATCTTTTACGTTCTATTTTCAACTTTAGTCTGATTTTGTAAGTACGTTTAGGAATAATAATCAATATTTAGATCCGGATTCCACACAATTTTGTCATTACAGGCACAGCTTCAGCAGGCACAAGACAAAATTTATGAAATGGCAGAGACATCAAGATTAGACAGAGAGAAGCTTGTGGAAAGGAATGAGGTGATCTGTTTTGTTATGACACATTAAACATCACTGTTAGCTAGACTGCACGTTCAAAAGTTTGGGGTTGGTGAGATTTCAAGACTATTATGCTCACCAAGGCTGCATTTACCTATTTGTGACCATGGACCACAAAACCAGTCATAAGGGTCAATTTTTCGAAATTGAGATTTACACATCATCAACACAGTTAAAACAATAGTGTGAAATATTATTACAATTAAATTTTTTTCTATTTTAATATATTTTAAAATGTAATTTATTCCTGTGATGGAAATGCTGAATTTTCAGCAGCCATTACACTAGTCTTCAGTGTCACGTGATCCTTCAGAAATCATTCTAATATGCTGATTTGCTGCTCAAGAAACCTTATTATCTATGTTGAAAATGTTGTGCTTCTTAATATTTTTTTTGGAAACAGAATTTTTTGTAACATTATAAATGTATTTACTGTCTTATCTGTACTGTCTTTTTATAAAATTACTGTTTGCTGAAAAAGGTATTAATTAAATTAATTAAAAAAATAATTTTTGAACAGTAGCGCATTTTAGGAAATTTCTACCAAAAATTAATACCAAAGATGTTGTGGGGCACTGAACGACATGCCAGTCAATTATTTCATGAAGTTTTTTTTTCTTTTTATCTTTAGGAACTGCAAGCAGAAGTAAATAAGCTTAAAAGGGCATTGTTTGACTACCAGGTCGCATCTGTTGCCGCAATGTCTGATCAAATATCCAACCCTCAAAGCCCACTGGCCTCCCTGGAGCAAACATACTCACCCGACTCTCATTTCTATGAGAACATTGATGACTTGACAGGTTGGTACAATAAACGAAAAAGGGAATTGTAACATTTACTCCGACGAAAACGCAAGAATTTCTTGAAGTTGTCTTAAAATTAGCGTATTAAACTCATAACGTATTTCATTTCTACATTATAGCAAATCCTTCAGATCCAGAAAAACAGGTAATTATTTTAATGAATACAATATTTCAAGAATGAGCTCAAAATTATTCAACTGTATGCATTTCCTTATGTGTAGATTAGGGTGTGCCAGCATTGTCAGGAGGTCTTTCCTGGCATCAACGAGGTTGAACTGGCAGAACACGAGCAGTCTCACAAAGTGTGTCCACTCTGCACTCTGATCTGTGACGATATGGAGCAGCGGGAGTTTGAAGATCACGTCTATAGTCATGAGGATTAGTCAATTCTTTTTTCTTTATCTGATATACTGTCTTTGGGAAAAGCATGGTGGCACTTTTTAAAGTACTGAATAGTCCAGGATTTTCTAGATAAGCAGCACTTCTCTTTCATTATTAGCTGTTATCTATATAGGGACAGTTTTTTTTAATTATTATTAGGTAATGATTGAAATATCACTTAAGAAACTGGAACCAAATGTCCAATTAAGTAAAAAAAAAAAAAAAAGATAGTAGATATAATACAGATGCAAGATAAATTGCACTTATATAATAACAACTGGCATGGTCTTATTTACCCAAACTTTTTCCAGTGGTTACTCAGGCATTGGAATAATAAACATATCGTGAGAAATGTGACTAAATAGATGCTTTTATTCTCCATTTTCACTGTTTTTCCTCTCAAACAAGCTTGACTCGCAACATTCTTTGACCTTCGCCTCTATCCACCATGACAATGTATTTACAAAATAATGTCTTATTCTCAAGGTGTCATTTGGTTGGCCTCCTCAGGCGTAACGTCTCGCGATAACAGCTCCGAGAACAGAGCAGGAAGCCAGTACTGCGGCTCCCCCGCAGCTTGGGAGTCCAGCCATGCTAAGCCTTCTTTCAGCAGGTGATCCTGAAAAACAGCGCAAAAGGTATTATTACTATATGACATAGAAAGCATTCAGAGTGGTGTTTCGTTTTTCCTGCACACTTACAAGAACGTGACTGGCCCGCTCTCTCTCCCACTTGAGGCTGTCTCTGATCTCGTTCACTGTCACGTAGCCCTTTTTCTGTGAAACATGGCCAATAATCAGATCTGATGTCATGGAAGTGTAAAGGTCTCAGGCTTTGTTTGGTATTGACTACCTCTGCTAGCTGAAGGACAACAGTGTGATCCATGTTGAGCTCTGCTGGGACAGATTGGACTAGATAAGAGCCTCCAACGGGAATCATCCCGAAGCCATTTCCCATAGCCTTGAGCTTCTTGATGGCCCGCACTAAGTCATCCCTGAGCGACGATGTTAATGGTTGGTAAGAGAATTCATGTGTTCAGAACAGCTAGAGAACACTATATACAAATCAAAGACACTCACTGGCTCACATCTTGTGCAAACTTCCCTCTTCCTTTCAAGACACGGTGGTGAAGTTCATCCAGTGTGATGAGACCTGCAAAAATAAAGTAATTCGTTGGTTAATATTTACATTTATATATTATTTTCATAGAGAAAGTTTTAGAAAGTCATATTAGACATTTGTGACCCTGGCCCACAAAACCAGTCATAAGTGTCAATTTTTTGAAAATGAGATTTATACATCATCTGAAATCTGAATAAATAAGCTTTCCATTGATGTATGGCTTGTTAGGATAGGACAATATTTGGCCGAGATACAACTATTTGTAAAGGGTGCAAAAAAAATAAATCTTGAGAAAATCGCCTTTAAAGTTGTCCAAATGAAGTTCTTAGCAATGCATATTACTAATCAAAAATGAAGTTTTGATATATTTGCGGTAGGAAATTTACAAAATATCTTCATGGAGCATGATCTTTACTTAATATCCTAATAATTTTTGGCATAAAAGAAAAATCGTACATTTTGACCCATAGTGTATTGTTGGCTATTGCTACAAATATACCCCAGCGACTTAAGTTTTGTGGTCCAGGGTCACATTTAGACGGTCATTATTGTGAAACACTGACAAGCTGAACAGGTCTTTTATGGTGTTTTTATATACGAAGAAGGCGATCATTGTCATCATAATTTAGAAATATCTGATCGCTGAAAGCACGATTGACTAATGAGAAAGAACCAAGTATACCACAGAGCCGTGTATTAAGTACGTTGAATATATGGAAGAAGAGAATATGCCGTTTGTTTTGCGACACACATAATATCTTCAAGAAAAAAAACACAGGCCTGTCATATTGATAATATGTAAAACTGAATTATCACTTTAACACTTTTAAACTGGCAAAACTTACCGCCGTTTCTGTGTTTTAGAGCTAAACAGACTTCAATGATCTGTACACCAAGCTCATAGTAGAAATCTCCAACTCCAAGCATCTCTGACCAAAATCCTTTTCCAGCTGCACACATACAGCAAAAAAGTTCATAAGGACATATAACTTTTTCTTTGAAATTATGATTCATTATAATATAAATTATTTATCATTTTAATTTATAAATTAATTAAATGGTACTTAATAATTTCTACTAATTGGTTAATTACAATGCATCCACACAGTTTTCATAAAAAATTAATTATAAATACAGTTTTAATAATGTATACTAGTTGATTAGTAATTATAATGTATCCGCATTTTTAAACCCTAATATTAAATCACAAATTCTGTATAATTACTTACAAATGCAATAATTAATTATTTATTATTATAATTGACAATAATTAATGTTATAATTAATTATAAATATAATTTATATAATAATTCATAATAATTATAATGCATCCACACAGTTTTCATATAGGGTCAAATACGCAAAATGGTTGTCAAGTATCAACACAAAAAAAGTTCCCCCCATACATTAGAATGTGTCCTGCTTAATTGTGTGTATTTTCCCCCAATTATATGTTTATTTATTTCTGAGCAAAAATGGAACGTCTCGTCTTTGACCCATGAACATATCATAAAAAGACATATCCATTTCAGCTTTAAGGGAAACATTTATGATAGGAAAAACGTACATGCCAGTGGATCAACCCCTATGGTGGCACACATCTCTTGGAACTGCACCCTGAACTGAGAGTTCTTACGGATTTCTTGTTTGTGTTTGCTGGCAAACTCTTCCAAATGGGTCTTAAAGGTTTCCAGTTGTTTTGACATCTACAAGGGCAACACACACGGTCTGATTATAAGGGGGTCAATGCTGTTTTAAGTTACATCTGTGTGGTTTGCTCAGTAGGCTATACGCACCTGTGCAATTTGATCCTCAGCAAGGACAGTTCCTCTCTCTTTATACTTTGCCTGTGACAGTAAACAAATTAGCTGAACGAATATGCCACAAGATTTGCCTAGTTACCAAATCTCGCAGAGGTGATGTCATCATACCTCTGCAAGTTTCTTTTTGGCGATCGCTCCAGCTCCGACTCCTCTTCTGTGCATGATGCCTAAATAAAAACGCCTAAAATACTATAATACTACAAAATGAAACTATTATTTCCCAGTTCTGATAACTAGTAATTTACTTCCTAGTCAGCTGAACAGCTCACGAGCTACATAGTTACACATCAAGGCTAAATTATGAGTTTATTATTACGAAATTAAATATATTACAATAAAACAAACGAATAGGGTTGTTCCCTTTCAATTATGCTCTTCTTATCTACAACGTCGCAAACAGTCCGGGAAGAAAACATCCACAGAAGTGTGTTATTTCTTCTGTACACGACTGAGGTCTCGACAGTAATGTTTTGGTGAATGTGTCCGATAACGCCACCGGTCGGTCTGGAGAACAAAGTCTGGGTATGCAGGGTATATCGTGCATATTGGCCCGGGCTGATTGGGGGCCCGCAGAGGGGGACTTTTAAATTAAAACGAGGGAATGTATTCTTCTTAATTTTATATATATCTGCGGGCTTTTTAAAATGAAACGAGGGAACGTATTGTTCTTAATTTTAAACAACAAGGACATTGTGGATGAATTCGCTGAAAGAAAGGCCCAGAGAATTAAAGTCCGCGTGAACCGGAAGTTGCTGCCGATTTTATTTCATTGTAGTGACGTATTTCCAACTGATACGGAATTTTGAATAGAGGGCATGGTTTTATTTTTGTGCTCCTCCTCTCTGTCGCTCACTCATAGCAATCTAACGGTTGGAAGGGTGTGTTTAAGCATATACTGCCCAAGCCGTCAAACTGACGGCATCAGAAAAGGAATGCCATTCCAGAGCGGAAGTAAATGTTCAGATTTTGATTAAAGATTAAGAAGACAAACAATAAAAAAAAAAAAAATTTTTTTTCAGCGGATTAACTTGCACTGATTAATTGTTTACATCAAGACTAGCAATGTGCGCTAGTAAAGTAAATAAAGTCAATTTTGATTTCATGCGGACTTTAAATAAAATTAATTACAACTAAAATGTGAGTAGTGAGTAGTTTTTATTTATTTTCTTTCTGTATTTCTACATTTTGGGCCGCTGTGCCAAGAGCGTGTTTGCGTTAGTGAATATGGCAGCGTTTTTGTGCCACAATATTTTCAGAATAAAGTCAAAATTACGAGTTGTTATTTTGCATGAATAAAGTTAATCAATGTGAAAATTCCATGTACTCAAAAAATGAATGAATAAATAAATAAAATAAATAAAAATAAATAAATAAAACAATGTTGGCAAAGTTATATTGTTGGCATTTCTGAGGTAAATGTTATGTTACAACTGTTATGACTACTCACAGGCTATTCTATTGACGATTTTCGAATTACTGTTTTATGCAGGCTTATGATGGAACCACTCGTTACCTATATGTAATCCTACCATGTTTAGTATCTATGAATTCGTCTTCTGATGATCTAAACGAGAGTGTAACTGCAGATTTATGCTACAGGCTCTGTGTAGAGTTGTACAGTAAGAAAGTTATTTCCCTTAACCAGGAAATTAACGTTCGTAGAATTGACAGACAGTTGACCCTGAGAGGTCAAGTAAATACTTACAGCGGATCTAAATATTTATAATTAATTATAACTAGTTATGATTAATTATTCATATTTCCCCTTTGAGCTGATTCGCTACAACATCATTTGTTTTGTTACTTTCCGAATGGCAATTATTCATGCTAGTTTTTATTCTTCTACTCTTTACTCTTCAAACTTTCAATGAACTATAGAATGTTTAAAATTATGTTCTAAACAAAGAATAAAATAAACCATTTCTGTATTTATTAGCCTATTTGAAAATGATTTGTATCAAATTTTCGAAAATGTCCTTAAAGGGTTAGTTCACCCAAAAGTGAAAATTCTGTCATTAATTACTCACCCTCGTGTTGTTCCAAACCCGTAAGACCTTCGGTCATCTTCGGAACACAATTTAAGATATTTTTGATGAAATCTGATATTTTTGATGAAATCTTTTGATGAAATCATAAAAAATATCTTAAATTGTGTTCCGAAGATGAACGAAGGTCTTACAGGTTTAGAACAACACGAGGGTGAGTAATTAATGACAGAATTTTCATTTTTGGGTGAACTAACCCTTTAAGATGCAGGGTTACCGCACCACAGCTATTTGCTCAAAAAATAAAATAAAATAATAATAAAAATAAATTAATTAATAAAACCTGTGAGGTTGGTAGCTGGCTAGTTGAAAAAACTGTATCACAGCTGTATCACATCTAGCTTCAGCGACACCTGCACCGTTTTAATTCTCTTTCTTTCATTTTAATTTTCTTTTATTGAAAGACCATCGAAAGTAGCCATTCTTTCCATTGAGAATATACACAAAGCCTTAAATAAAACACCAAGGACATAGCAGATGAATTTGCTGAACGAAAGGCCCAGAGAATTAAATTAAACACATTTATTGTTTGTATTTCGTGATAAAATTGACAGAAAATAAAGGATACTGTGTTATATTGAAAGTAACAAAATGCTTATTATTGTGATTATTGGATGGCTGGTGCACTACAAATAATGACTAGACTTGAAAACGTTAAATATAATTTCCAAGCATTTATATCGTTAATAAAACTTGTGAATAGTCATGTAATGTGATACCTCAGAAAAGACAACAATAAGGAGCATTGGAGCCCACATTAACCTATAACGTATGTTTTTGCATATGGACCCGGAGCTGACTTGCTACGCCACTGATCATGTCACTGTATCAGTGACTCAGTCATTAAAAGCTGTCAGTATCAGCTCATTCGCTCAAAAGATGATTTCTGTTCAATGACTCAAGAATCGCCCCTGTTGTGAGTGAAGCGGTCAGAGAAGTTTTATAAACAGAAGCAAACAATTCATTTGAAAGGGCAGACAGTATACAGACAAGACAGTACAGTAAGGGCAACCTAGAATGTACCACCATTCAGAAGGAGCCCATCCAGATCCCTCCAGAAGATACAGAGATGGAGAAAATGAGAGGCTCTGACTGAGGATTGGCATATTACTTCACTGTGGCTGCTGATGATTCAGGTAGAGAAGCCTGAATGCCAAACTCCGCTTGCTGGAGTGAAAATATTTCCACGTTCCTCAACCACAGCAGAAAAGCCGCTACTGACTTGAGGAACCTGAACAGCAAACTCCACCTGATGAGGTGAAATAAGTGCCACGTTCCTCCCCAACAGTAGCTCAACCACTGATGGTTCAGGAAGAACCTCAACATCTCACTGCCATCTCTGACCACTGGATGAACCGTTGACAATTCAGGTGGCACCTGATAAGATGGAGCAAGAGCATACCTGAAAAGAGAAGGAGTAGAAGGACAAAAAAGGAAAGAAAGACAGACCCTTCAACTACAAAATGTCCAGATGCAAATCCACCACCAGCAAAGGCTAAACTTGCTTGGATGGACACCAGCAGTGCACACAATACCAAGACTGAAGATGAAATTCCTGAAAAGCATAAGAGCGGGAGTGAAATGATCGTAGAGCTTGATCTGAGACAAGAAAAGAAGGAGAGAAAGACTTAATATGCAACTCCACCACCTGCAAAAGATGAACAGTGGACCCAAACAATGCAAAAGCCACAGATTAGAAAAAAAAACAAAGGATAAAAAGACAAAGCCCCAAAAACAAGCAAGCAAAATTGAAGAGACGTAGGCTACAGGAGACTGAATGCAGTAGCAAAATCAACCAGCAAAAGGGATTTCTTCTCATTTGTAAACTGGCAGAGAAAGATCATCAGAAAATCAGAAAAGAGGAGAAAATACAAACTGTACAATATGTCAGTGATCCATCTATGAAACACCTGCTCATCAACAAACACAACAGGTTCAATAAGTCATACAGTACAGAACCTAGAGGACGATCTCCCTCTCAAAATTTGAGCATCAAGAACATATACAGGTGGTGGAAGACAAGAAGGATCACTTCCTCCAGTAAAAATTCTGTAAATCTGAGGCCAATCAAGTTTATTACCTCATTGTTCATGTGTTAGAATGTGCTGCTGCTGTCTTACACTGAAAAAAACAACAACATTTGGGTCACTGAAGCTGTCTGTCTGTTTGGGTTCAAAGTGAAATGTATTTTAATATGTGGCCTTTTCACCCGTAGCTTCATATGTTCACCTCTAGATGTCCTACCATTCTAGTAATGATTTCTGGATATTGATGCGATGTGCTGAAATGAGTTTAAAGGGGTCATATGATGCGATTTCAATTTTTCCTTTCTCTTTGGAGTGTTACAAGCTCTTGGTGCATAAAGAAGATCTGTAAAGTTACTTCTGACTCACAGCCTGTAAGTACCTTTTTTCATATTTAAAGAATTTGCCACTGATGATTCAAACGCGAGTGTGACCCCTTTAAATGGAAATCAGTGTGTACTTCATCAATTCTACCACATCAGTGAAAGAATGTGCACGCAAGGCCCAGAGAGTGTGCACATATTTACACCATTAAATCCATGTGCATGGCAAGGTTTACACATCAAGCCCGATGTTCTGGATGGTTCAAATGTGTTTCGTGTTGGATAAATTTCACAAAGTGGTGAGGACAGGATCAGTAGTAGGGTAAAAAGTATGTTCAACCCACAAGTGACTCCTTTGTGGGTGACTAATAGTAGTGATAATAAAGTACAAACCACAATTTATGATTCTGAAAAACAATTTAATTATAATTAAGAGATTTTCATTTAGAGATAGATGACATTCAGTACATTGATTTACTAAACATTTCCAGTACACTCCTCAAATCGAACTTGGATTCGGTCTGTTCTCCAAGGCGCTTTAGAGGCACGTTCGGTTTAGCTTTATTGATTCCTGTTGGCCAAGGAAGAAAAATATGGTAAATGCAGTTTACATGGTAAATCACAACTAGTCTCACTTGTAGAAGGCAACTTACTTGAATGCATCGCCTTTTCTCTGAATCCACATCACAAACTCTTTTTTCAGCAGGTCATTGAAGGTGCGGGTGTCTGGATCTTCTATAGTTGGTCTGTAGAAACAAGCATCAGATCCTGCCTGCTGCTTCATAAAGCCTGAATATTGTAACATGGGCCTACATGCTGCCCATTTCCCCAAACTTACTCGCTTTTCTTCTCCCTCTGATTGAGCAGAAAGTTTACAAAGTTTTTCTGGACCATCGAGTCCACAATTTTGCTGATGTCACTCGCAATGGTTGATTCAGCATAACGGCGGCTAAACTTCTGGATCTCATTTCGTGAGCTATTAGTGAAATTTGAAAAACAAATAGAGCATAAAATCAAAACATAAGCTTTTCTTTAATTGTTGTGTGACTTCTGTTG